GGGATCCAACGACTGCAAAGTTTCCGTACGCTCAAGTGATCATGCAAAATCGTATGTATTGCTTTCATGTCAATGCCTAAGGATGCCTGAATCTCGCGGTATGTTATATGCCGGTCTCACTCAATCATTTCACGCACAGCAACATTAGTGGCAACAACAGACGTGGATGGACGACCTTCACGGAATTCATCACTAAGAAAGGTACATCCACGCTGGAATTCGGCAAACCAATTATAAACAATCCTATTGGATGGTGCTTCATCTCCAAAAGTCAAATGAAGTCGATCGATGTATTGTTTCGGAGTTAGATTACATTTGTAATCGTAAAAAATCATTGCCCGAAAATTTTCACACGAAATTTCCATTTTCTTACAAAATAACTTCTTTTAAAATACTATGCAAACAAAACTAGTTGGCTTGGGTACAAACTGTCAATTGAATTATAGGTTAAAAACATCTAATTTTACGGATATGATAGTAGCAGAACATTCGCGCCACTGGAAGTACTAGATTGCAGAAACTTTTCCAGCAGCCTACGTAGCATCGGTTCATTAAAAAAAAATTAACAGTATACGATAAGATACACAAACAAAAAATCTGTTGGACTTTATTAAGTAAGAACTACACTTACTATCTAAATGGAAATCAAATATCTCAAATAATTATATACGATTGTAAAACAAAAATGTTAAGAATAAAAATATTTATTTACGTGTATGATTTTTTAGAATTATAGCGTAACTTCTACGATAAACGCGTCCTTCTCGAGATATCACAGCAGACTGAATGACAGTCGCTGTTGCGTGTTCAGATACGTTTACGCGTGACTCGCACGATTTGTTTATTACGTAGCCTCGATTATTCTACTTACCCTTATAGTCTACTGACCCCGGTCTTCCTTACTTATTGATTTAATTCATATGGAGAATGTTTGTACATTTTTCCATAACATAAAAATATAAATATATGATTTACGTTCTTTATTTTGTCAAAAAATGTTTTACAAAAATGATCATGTAAATTTGTTGAATTATTCATACCACCATAATGTGTGCACAATTCATGCCATGTGTGCACACTTTTTCAATCTCACTATCAAATCTCGGTTAAAAACATTAACTAATGCTAGTCTAAGTTTAATGGAGAATATTTGTTCATTTCGATATTGGTGAGTATAGCTATTTTTTTATATATTTTGTAATTCGATGGTGTTAGAATGTTTAATTACTTTACATTTCCTGGGATTACTTGCTATAGATGCGAAATTTGCCCATCAAATTCCAAGTTACAAGTGTAACGTATATATGTTTGTTATAATTTCCCACTCAATATTAAAACTGTAATATGACACTCGTGTTATAACAGTAAAACACGTTCTTTTCATTCTAGGATAGGTATAGTTAGATATATATTACAGATATATACGAGGGTGGTCCCAGAAGTACTCGATCTAACAAAGAAAACACAAAAAATTTGGGAAAAAATATCTTTATTTCTCAACATAGTCTCCTTTTAGCTCGATACACTTTTCCCAGCGATGTTCAATAGCTTCGATGGCCTGTTTATAGTAAGAACCGTTGAACTCCTCAAAATAGCCATTAACCGCAGACTCCACCTCTTCATTGTTGGTAAATCTTCTACCACCGAGCCATTTTTTCAAGTTTGGAAAGAGAAAATAATCCGAGGGGGCTAAATCTGGCGAATAGGGTGCGTGGGGAAGCAATTCGAACTTTAACTCAACATCCTCTCGACGCTGCTTTTGTTCGATTGTGAGCAAGTGCTGCACTTACCTTGCGCACAGCTTTCTCATCTCCAAATTTTCAACCAATATGCGATGTACAGCACTTTTTGAAATGTTTACCATGTCTGCTAGCTCGCGCACTTTCAATCGACGGTCACCCAATACCATTTTGTGGATTTTCTTCACCATTTCTGGAATGGCCACCTCACTTGATCGATCACTGCGATGTTCGTCTTCGCAGCTCGTACGGCCTCGTTTAAACTCTACCACCCAATATTTTACTGTTGTAAACGAAGGAGCAGACTCCTCCAGAGTAGAATCCAGCTCGGCTTTGATATTGGTTGGGCTAAGACCTTTCAAATGAAAGTATTGTATCACATAACGATGACCAATTTTTTCCATCTTTGCAAATTCACCGAGATCGTCCACTATTGATGGCTGCCAAACAAATACTGAACAACGTAGCGTTTTCAAACTTCATAGTTAAGCTTTAAAAAGTTGGTGCTTTCCCCTACAGTGATTTTTTTTATACAACAACCATTTGTACGTCAGGTCGGGTACTTCTGAGACTATCCTCGTATTACAGATTTTCAAATGCGATGTAGATCGAAGAGTAGGTCTTCTCAATCCTTTTATGACCATATTGAATGACATTATAACTGATATTAATCATTGTTATTTATATTTTGTTTTTTGTATGTGTGTGTGGGTGCGTGCGGGCGTGCGTGCGTGTATCGTAACACTTTATTTGCTATAATATTACAAACTTACGATTATGCATGTTATTACCATCAAAATCGTCTTTTCTCGGTTTTATCAAACATTTTGTAGATAATATTTGGAATAATTTATTTAGGTTCGGTTTTATCGTCTCCGAATAACTCCATAAATCAATTAATTATGATTGGCAAATCGTAATAACAATTAATATTTGATTGATCACTTCCAATGTAATAATTTGACAATTAAGTTAATTGAAGATAATAAAACTGTCTTTAAAATTGTGTTTTTTAATGTATCGTTTTATTAAATTTTCATAATGTAAATAATTATGTTGTATAATACATTTATGTGGAAAGATTGAGTGGGAGGGAGAGGGGGAGGAGGGAGAGGGAGAGGAAGAGGAAGAGGGAAAGGAAGAGGGAGAGGAAGTGAGAGGGAGGGGGAAGGTAGGAAGGAAAGAGGAAGGGAGGAAGGAAGAGATATGTGGCGTATTTAATAAAATAGATTGTATGCTTTTAAAGAATATATAAATACGAGTATGTATAATGGAATACAAATATGTAACGAATTTGTAACGCGAATATGTAACAAATATATCATATATTCATATAATATTAAGTTAAAAATAAATAAAATGTATTTTCAAAATAAAAAAGTTACATTTGTCTTATATTAAAAAGATAAAGCATAACAATATTAAGTTTATTAAAGTAGTATATGTGAGCAGCCATGGGATGCGAAAATAAAACCCCCTCCACGTCTCCCTCTGCTGTGTGGCCTAGACGGTCAGTCTAGAAAAAGGACGTGTTTCGATTAGTCGAGGAGTGAAAGAGGTAATAGAATAATTAAATGGTGTAATTTGATTGGTTCGCCCTATACAAAGATCTGATTGATTCATACCGTACCTACCTACGAGGTGATTGGAGAAGGAGGGTAGTAGAGGACCTCTGACAAAATGGAGGGAAAAGTCCGAAAAAATGGTGAGTGGAGATTGGGACTGTTACCATTTTTTGTCGCGAGGGTAGAGTACGAACACCGAGCATAAATAGTGGGTGGTTTTATGACGGTCACTTTTTTGTTGGCACAATGTTTCCGACGTGTTGGTGTTTTAGTGAATGTTTTTTATTTATAAGAGATGAGATCTTATTCGAAAATTTACAAGTCTAGGGGTTCTTACTTTTGCTCGGAAGAAAAGGAGGAGGTAAAACAGAAACGAACACGTTCAACAGGTGCGACGTCTTCGAGCATCACTTTAAAAAAATTTTTTCTATATATTTAATGTACATTATCTAACAAGGAGAGGCTACGCTCTGCTCTTCATCAATTTTAATCAAACTTGCAGTAATGTTAGAGTAGCCTACCAAATGAACACCTGTAAAGCCGTTCTCGCTAATGGGACTTAGAAGCCGAGTAATGATCATTTAAAAATATACCAAAAAATATTTTCATTTTTTGGTATATTTTTAAATGCTTATTGAAGAGCAGAGCGTAGCCTCTCCTTGTAAGTCTGTAATACGAGAGAAAATGTATCTATTGTAAATGAGGGTGGGGATAGAAGTAAGAAATAGGCAATATTTACAAATTTAAACCGTTTATTTAAAAGAGATATTACATGAAATAGTTATTTTATTTTTTTGAAAGAATACACGTTTGAACATGACGGCATACAGCATGAGAATTTACAAATTTATATTTACAATGAAGAAAAATTTTATGAAATAACTGTACAATCAATCGATCATTTCACTTACAATCAGAGGTAAACAGATCAAGAAACTGGTTAAAATTATAGTCATTACACAAAAAAATATAGAAATACACAGCAGTATTGTCCACAAGTTTGAGAAAGTATATTCCTTGCAGCGTTGTCGTATTCCATCGATACGTGGTAGAGTTTCGTCGAAGTTTCGTAAGAGGAATCTTGGATCTAAGAGCGGTAAGTCGTAGCTATCGAAATACGTTCCTATTTCGTATTCATCGATGTAGAAGGCGACCCAGTGTTGGCCAGGTCGATCGTGATCGTTCGTGTTAGCGACAATGGCAGTCGATCTCGTTCACACCCTCGGCAGTCGATTGGCAGGATAGACCCTCGCATGTCGGATACTGATGTAATGCGTTTAAAACTTCCAGCAAATTAATTTCTCGTCGTCGGAGAACGTGAGGGAGGAAATGTTTGCGTAAATTCAAAATGTACCTCTTGTTATATCTTGGTTTGTACGGGAAGGGTGCGCGATCAAAGATTCAAGTACTCGCACTCGATTCACTCCTGCTTTATTTCTTCCTTACAAAAGAATACCAAAGATTCGGGCGACGAGCAGAAAAAAGCCCCCGCCATGAGGCGAGCACGCACCATCTTGCTGTTTCCTTTCCGTTTGCGCTTGCGCCGTCTCGTGACGTCACTCGCGTACATGTAAATGCTCGCGGGTGTATCGGCGCGGCAATATTCGGTCTATATAAATGTACGAACGCACCTAACACCTTCCTTTGTAAAAGAAAAAAAAAAAAAAGAAGCTGTCTCCTTTGATTTATATCGGAATCAATTTTCCGGGTGATGGTACTGCAGGCGTTCAGGTGCTTTGAGTTTATTCCTAGGTCTAAGTGTGCGATCCGTGGGTACGGATCCGAGGCTTGGCGACGATTCTGCGTTTGACGTACTGGGCCCCAAGGTGACATCGCCTTCGATCGCGGACGACTCCGTTTCGTCCGGCGGAGCATGATCGCAATCCTCTATAGTATTTTGTACACCCGTGGATTGTAACTGATTGACATGACGTCGCCAAATCCGACTGTCATCTAAATGAACTAAGTAATTTAATTTTCCGATGCGCTGTACTATAGTGCCAAAAATCCATTTTGCCTTGCCGGTATAATTTCTCGCTTTTACTCGATCGTTCGCCTTGAATTCTCGACACTGTTTATGTACATTAACCTTGTCGTCGCGTTCCTCGCTTTTGTTTGGACGCATTACATCGAGGTTTGCTCGTATCTTTCTATTAAAAACTAACTCCGCAGGTGGAATTCCTGTTACGGCATGAGGCATCGTTCGGTACTGGAAAAGGATAGTCTGTAAACTGGAATGTAAATTCTTGCCAGTTGGCATTTTCTGTAAAGCTCTTTTAATGGTTTGGACGTACCTCTCTGCTTGCCCATTTGACGCGGGGTGAAAAGGAGCAGAGGTTTTATGCGTAATGCCGTAAGTCCGAAGGAATTGTTGAAATAGCTGGGATGTAAATGTAGGACCGTTATCACTTACAACAACATTCGGTAACCCAAATCTCGAAAAGATTTCTTTACAAATATCGATGGTCGGTTCTGTAAGCATATTTGGAACAATATAAACTTCCGGCCATTTCGTAAATGCGTCGACACATATAAAAAACGTCGTATTATCCTTATGTGCAAAATCGATGTGCCATCGCACGAAAGGCGCAGTGGGTGTTTCCCACACATGTTTTTCTGCAACTTTCGGCGCATTCGCGACTGTGTTGCATTCGACGCAGTCTTTTACGACCGTCTCGATGTCGCGCGTAATTCCGGGCCACCAACAGTGTTCTCGCGCTAACCCTTTCATTTTGGTCATACCGAAATGTCCCGAGTGTAGTTCTTGCAGGACTTCCTTACGTAATGTGGTCGGAATTACAATCATGTGATTTCGAACAAGAATATCGCATTCTAGACTAAATTCTATTGGGTCAATGCCCCAAGTATCAGCATGTGTAAGAGTTTTGCCGTTACATAGCGCGTTGGCGACTTTTTGTAATTCTTTATCTTTTTGAAATTCTGCCCGTAATTTAGTAGGCGTAATGAGCAAAGAGCCTATCGTGTTTACGTAGTACAAATCGACAACGTCATTGGTTTCCGGTTCTCCAGAAATTGGAAGACGGGAAAGGCAATCTGCGTTAGCGTTTTGCTCCGATTTCCTATACTCGATGGTGAAATTGAAACCACGTAAGAATATTGCATAATGCTGCATGCGCATCGCGCTATATAATGGCAACCCTTTGTCCTTTGCAAAAATTTTTGTAAGAGGACGATGGTCCGTTACTAATTTAAAAGTATTTCCGTATAAGTATATGTACAAACGTTTTATAGCGAAAACAATTGCGTAAGCTTCTTTATCGATCATGCTGTACTTAATTTGCGTTTTGTTGAGTGTTTGAGAAATGTATTGTATTGCTCGCTCTGTTCCATCGGGATATTGGTGTGACAATACTGCCCCCACTCCGTGGTGACTCGCATCCGTGTGTAACACTAACGGAAGTGTTGGATCGTAAAAAGCTAAACATTTATTGCTTGTAAAAGCCTTTTTTGCTGCTACCCAAGATTTTTCCTGACGTTCAGTCCATTTGAATTCTTTATTTCTTTGTAGCAATTCATATAACGGTTTCAATAATGTACTCGTATTTTCAATAAATCTACTATAGTAGTTTATCATACCGATGAACGACTGAACTTCAGTAACATTTCTAGGTCGTGGCATTTTTGTAATTGCGTCGAATTTCGAGCTGTCTTTTTGCAATCCGTTTTTGCCGATGATGTACCCACAATAAGTAATCTCACTGGCGAAAAATACACATTTCTTTTCGTTTATTTTAATGTTATAGTAGTTTAATCTTTTGAAAACTTTTTCAAGAATTTTTGTAAATTCGTATTCGTTTCCCGCTGCTATGGCAATATCATCGAGCATGACTTTAACGCCTTTAATTCCGTGTAATATTTTCTCCATTGTGATTTGCCATAGAGCAGGTCCCGATGCGATTCCGTACATTAGCCGCATGACTTTGTAAAGTCCTTTATGTGTATTTATCGTCAGGATTTGTGAGCTTTCTTCGTCCATTTCAAGGTGCAAGAATGCCCATTTTATATCAATTTTACCGAAAACCGTGCAGTTCGACATTTCAGAAACCAGTTCATCAATTGTAGGTAACGGATGCTCAGTAATTTGTAGTTGCGGATTGACTGTAACGCTGTAATCTCCGCATAAACGGACAGTGTCATCTGCTTTCAAAACTGGAACAACGGGAGTTGCAAATTCTGAAGTCTCGACTTTTACTAAGATTCCTTCATTTATAAGGTTTTCTATTTCTTTATCTACCCGTGGTATCAGTTTAAAAGGCATAGGACGAGCTTTTAAAAATACTTTTTTAGCATTAGGTTTCAATGTAAGTGAACCTTTCATACCTGTAACCTTACCTAGCTTTTTGTTTGTCAAATTACTGTATTTCGCGAAAAGATTTTTTATAAATACATCTTTGTCTATATTTACTACGATTTCGTCGCGAATTTGTGAAACTGTATTTTGTGTAAATAAATTACTCGCGTTTTGACGTGTCAAGAACATACGTATCCATTCTCGACCCATCAATGGTGTACGTTTGATCGATGTAAGGTATAAATTCAATGTGTACATTTCATTTTCGAATTTTACAGAAACTGTAGCGTAACCGTTTACCTGTATTGGCGTATTACAATAAGTCACTAACTGTAATTTAGCGGGATGCACTTTCAGATTCTTGAAACTCATTTTCGCATGGTGTATTTCCATGATGGTGACTGCAGCTCCGGAATCGACCTCGAAGTTGATCATTTTTCCGTTGACCTCAATGTCGAATTGGAATTTCTCCCGTAGACCTCGTTGTTCTGGCAGGGGTGAATCACATTGTAATATTTCCAGATTAAAAAGTGAGTTGGCTTCGAAAATATCGTTCTTTTCCTGTAATACGTTGCAATTACTGTGCTTCTTTTTCAAACAGATCGTTTCTAAATGCCCCTTTTTCTTGCAAAAATTGCATTGTATATACTTTGGTAATTTGCATTTATCCGCTTTATGATCACTCTTTCCGCATCGATAGCATGCGATACTTGGAGAGTTTTGGAGAAATTTTTTTGTATTTGATTTGGAACCTTTCGGCGTCACCGTATCTTTCTTCTTTTGGAATTTATTTGCATGTAGATAGTGGACGTCCTGTGTTGTATCTTTACAGAGGGTATTCGTTTCCTTCTCTGTAAGTTCCATTGCAAGTGCAATCTGCAATGCCTTTTCATAGGTTAATTCCTTGGTTTCGAGCAGTCTGCTCTGTGTACGGCGGCTTGAAATTCCGAAAACTAAATGATTTCTCAACATCGTATTTTGAAAAATACCGAAATTGCAAGTTGTACTTAATTTCGTTAGGGCACTGGCAAAATCTTGTACTGTTTCACCAGGCAGTTGCTTGCGATGGCAGAATTTGTATGTCTCCGCTATTTCTAATCCAGTTGGTGCAAAAAGTTCTTTGCATTTAGCTTTCAGTTCATCAAATGTTTTATCCGTAGGTTTTTCTGTGCCTAAACTGTCATACAGAATGTTGTAAGCTTTCTCACTTAAGAAAAGGGTTAGGTGTAAAACGCGTTCTTGTTCCTCCGTGATTTTGTGTATTTGTAACCATCCTTCGAATCGTGTAAACCATCTTTCCCAATTCGAGGTTCCCGGCGTGAATGGATCGACGATATTTTGTATGGTACTGGACATTGTCGACTTTGCAACTATCGCGGTACTTGTAGATGCGCTTGTATTTGTAATTTTCGGTTTTCCGTCGCGTGGCTCTTTATCCTTGCCCGACATGTAATATTTGTATATGCGTGTGTGTAAAGTTCGTAACTTGCAAATTACGCGTGTACACCCATGAAAATTGCAGAACAAAAATCGAAAAAGTCACTTCAAATGTAAATTTTGAAACGGTCTTGTTCAAAACGATTCGCGTAGTAGTGTCTCGTCGCGGGAGGTATCCCGAAAAACACGTGTGCAACTCCTGTTCGAGAACCGCGAGAGAAAAAACTTTTACACACGCGGTCGCGCTTTTAGCGAAAAAAAAACCACCGTTGCAGATCCCATTCTCGTCGCCAGTTTGTTATATCTTGGTTTGTACGGGAAGGGTGCTCGATCAAAGATTCAAGTACTCGCACTCGATTCATTCCTGCTTTATTTCTTCCTTACAAAAGAATACCAAAGATTCGGGCGACGAGCAGAAAAAAGACCCCGCCATGAGGCGAGCACGCACCACCTTGCTGTTTCCTTTCCGTTTGCGCTTGCGCCGTCTCGTGACGTCACTCGCGTACATATAAATGCTCGCGGGTGTATCGGCGCGGCAATATTCGGTCTATATAAATGTACGAACGCACCTAACACCTCTTTTGCTGGCATGTACGATGTGAAGCTCCCAAAAATGCTCGATATTTGTGAGACGCTAGTGTTAGTTTTATCTCTATCAGTCGACAAGTCGAATTTTGGAAGATCTTTTTTCTCCTCGTCTGTCGCTTGTTTGTTCTCACCCTGGTTCTTCTTTTCTGTCACGATATTTTTCCTCCACGATTCAATATTGCGAATGATATTGTGTTTCTGATTTTTAAATTGGATTGAAAAATTCCCGTTGTCTGTTTTTTTGCTTTCGACGTCGCTCTTGCTCCAATTTTCTGAGGCTATCGTACTTGAATTGCTGCTATTTCATATAGCAGCAATTAGCCAATGTTTCAATTTGTAAACATTGCGTAAGGCATAATGTGATTCAAAACGCTGGTTCGAAATCCGTGCAGCGTTATCTACGACCTTCGAAATCTGGTCGATTTTTGAAAACTGGAGAAATTTCTTCCAGATTATATACGTTTCTAGAAAATAGATTGCTCAAATAACGTGTCTTCTTTTGTTCCCTGGTATATGCGTGTCGTGTAATGTATCGCAGATGTATCGTAAAGTTTCTTGGATTGACGTCTCCATCGAACCATTCGATTTCGTAATAATTTTGGGTAAGCCAGTTATTTTCTCGTCTTACTCTCTCGGGTAAATCGTCAAATGGACAAGATGACGTCATAATTCAGTATCCGGTGATTGTCGCATTAATCGCTAGAACCGCGATTTCTTTCGGAATAAAGTTTTCTTTGACATCGCGAAAATTTTGTATGTCGATGACTATATTCATTATGATATTCGAATTTTCGCTACTCTTTTTACGAAACATTGATGTTGGTGGCGCGAATAAGACTGAAGCTTTTTCGTCATCTTGCGTCTAATTAGATGGGAAAAAATGTGTATAGTACGAGAAAATAATTTTCTCGCGGAAACCATAGGGCTAACTGGAAAAGTCGATGATGACTTGATGCGAGGAGTCGATTTCTAAAACGTTATCAAACTCGGCGATACAATTTGGCTGTAACGGTCTACTAAGAATTTGCATGCCATTGGCGTACAGCGAAAAGAAATTTATTCCGTAATTTTTGAAATTAAACGGGTTCAATTTTCTATCGCCATTAAACGCCTTGTTATCGACAAAGCCGACTATTATTCGTTTTGGTAGATGTTCGAGTATTGCATTGTCTATCGATTCCTCCACGACGCTGGCGTATCGTGAATGTTTTAACTTCAAATCTCGTAAGGGAATACTTGGCGGTAGTTTTACTCAGCATTCTAGCATGTGCGAGTAGCATACCCGGGCTTATTTTTGCTCTTCTTATAAGTAGGCATCAAGAATGCATATTTTTGATATCGTTTTACTCTCCATAAGACAAAATGAATCTTTCAAACGTACGAGTTTTATTTTAACTTTCACTCCGTTAATTAAAAATTTATCTTGATTGAGAACGTCGCAATGAAGGTGACCAATGAGATCTAGCGCGTGATTTCCTTGAATGTATTGCGTGGTCTCTCGAGCGCTGTATTTGGAATTGATGAGTTTAACGTGTCGTCCATGTAACCAAGGATATCCGCGTCCCATAAACAAGAGGTTAGATAGAAGATTTTTACGAGTGAAGCATATTTAATAACGATGTATGCGCGATACGCGTAAGTGTTGTTTAGTGGCAATACGAGCTTTTGATTGAAATATATGTCGCTTTGGTTGAACATGGAATACAGTAAATGATTTACGGGATCTACTTTTGGCCCGCCGTCGGGTGTGCTCGATGTGCTCTCCCCGCGTTCGCTTTCTACGCATATGCGAAGGCTCAACATGATGTGAGTGAGGTTCAGATAGTCTTCTCCATGTTCGGGAATGACGAATTCTATGGGCGAGTCGTCCGCGAGCGAAGTTACGGATTTGTAATAAATCCATTGCGAACTCTCAATGCTGGTTTGTGTAGGAGGCAGAGAGAAGAGATCGAGTTCGCTCTTTATACACTCGCTTGAGTGGATATAAAGAAAGGACATGCTTTTTCTTCAGTAACGAATTCCTATCTCAATTAAAAAAATATGTCGGATATATCGCGTTTCTTGACTCGATGTTTCCTAGAGGATGGTTTTTTGGTTTTTCTTTCTGCAGTACGAATTTTCTTTTTCTTCTTCGACACTTTTTTATTCTTCTTCGCTGTGATACTTCTCGATGATTTTCTTTTGACTCCCCCCCCCCCCGACGTTCATTTACGATGCACCATACGTCTATCTCGATCACCGAGTGGAAACTGAAGTGCCGCGGATATTTTATATCTAGATCCCCTCATTAGGGAACTTATTTTTTCTTTGGCTTTTTTTTTCAGATTACCCCTTGATTCCGCGAGCCGACTTTTGACTGCTTCTTTTAACGGCTTATTATTTTTGACGTCTTCTATCATGTTAATTCCCGCACGTAAAACTTCTTTTTCGACAGCACGCGTCTTTATTTAGATAAGCAGTATTTTTCTAAATAATCTGCCAAGAAAGTTTCCGATTTCATGTCCGCGTTGGTAGGTAACCGACGAAAACACGCGGAATTCCACCTCTGCTACCGGTGTCCCGCGCATCAAAATACGTCAGCGCACCCTCGCGTGAGCTTGTCAGTAAAGAGCACCACGGCTGGCGAAAAACTGATGTCGCCGCGCATACACTTACCATATCTTCGCGCGTCAAAGAGGCTCGCGATTAGTGTATATTTCTATCGTTAAGTGAGCGCGTGGCATCGCCGCCGATAAGCTTACTGGTGCTACTACCGCGATGCCGCAGCGAGGGAAAAGCTTTCGTAGAAATCGAAAAGGTTAGTTAGAATTATATAATAAATCATCTCTTCTTGTTTTCCTTAAGTATAATACAAAATATTTTTTATTCGATACTTTTTTTAAAAAAGAGGAAGGGAGAAAAGGAAACATATATAATTTTAATTTTTTTATAGTTGATTATATTTTTGCTAGCTCTTATACAAAAAATTCAATTATTCAGAAGCAATATTTACATTTTTATATTTTTACATTTTAAATCATTCAATAAAATTCTAATAAAAATGTTTTTTTGTAAAAAAGAGATACTTATATTTTATTATTTACAAAAAATTTAAATTTATGTTTTTTTTTTACATAATACTTAAATACTATGCAGATAGGCGAAAAACTCGCGAACTTAAAATATAAGTGAGAGAAAGAAAAAGAAAAAGTTGTTATTTTATTCTCCCTTGAAACCATATAGAAGAGAATAACGATTATAAATTATTAATAAATATTGCGTTTTACCAATACCTATACGCACGTCTTTGTTTCGTTTCGTGTTACGATTTCGTGAAACGCGGTGCGTCGGGTTGCGTTAAAATACAAATTTATCGCTGCCTCCAGTTTTTCCTTCTTCTTTTTCTTTTTTTTCATTGCGTTTTTCTCTCTCATTATCCATTATTAATTTCCTAATACTATTAATATTTATAATTCGAGAGTTCTTATAACTTAATGTTATTCCTTTAACTTTACAAATCTCATGTCGATGACCTTCTGGTATACGCGTAGAATTTCGGGCTCCCGGACACGAACGACTCGATAAAACTGCCCCGTCCGTAGTTCTCGAGTTCGTCCGTCATATCGCCCAGAAAATTCCCTGTACACGACTCATATTCACTCGATTCGCTTCTGTAAATACACGAGTCTGTATCACAATATAAAACGCAATTACCTAATTTCTCTAGATATGCGTATAATATCAGCCGCGACTTCTGACGTCATCCATGCCACGATTATAGGGTTTTGCGGAGAAGGCGCAACCGTCTCTTTGCGTCGCCGAAACATATATTATCTCGTCGTTGACAGGTAATATATTGGTTATTTCGTGTTCTGAACTCGTCAGTAACGTTGCCAAACGTTCGTATTTCTTTACTCTCTCTCTCTCTCCCTCCCTCTCTCCCCCTTCCCCTCTCCCCCTCCCCCTCCATCTCTCCCTCTCCCCCTCTCCCTCCCTCCCTCCCTCCCCTCCCCTCCCCCTC